TGACATACGTCTCGTGTGATTCGCTAGCTTTGTGCGTAGCTTGTTCGCGATTTGGCCTATGTGCACACGTGCATAGTTGTTTTGACTAATTTTGTGCACGTAGTTAGTCATCTTACCTACGGCAAGTGCGTCCTTCGTATGCTCCAGTGTTGAACGGATTCTGAACCATTAGGAAACTCACCATTATATTTCCTAGCTCTGAAAGACAACCCAGCATCCTTCTGCATAATAATGCTTACCTTCCAAATATACTACGTAGTATGTTTTAAATTTGGGATTAGGATATTCCGTAACTGGTGTTTTAATAATCATCTCTGTATCCACTATTCAACTTTAGATAGAAATGCATCACATATAGTCTCAGTTAGACAGTCATCATCGGTCCGAACAAAGCACTGTACGGCCAGTTCATTCTATCAGGAATCGTCAGAAGTGCACACTATAGCTGACACCTACGGCGCTCGAACCCGCAACTCGACAGTTGTCAGTTTGTGATCAGGAGCCCTGAGCGACTGGATACAATGAACAATGATTTTATACGGGTTAAGAAGCACTGCTTCACAAGCTAGTTGGGTAGTCTGGTTAGTTATCGAAAAACTAATAAAAATACGCATCAGTAGTTCTACTGCCAAATGAATGGACTCATCGCATGTAATGCAGTAACCCTTCACTCCGAGTGTTTTTATTGCTTCAGTAGGCAAAAAGATAAATCCAAGGTATTTCCCGCTAGTAGTATGGAAAGTACTGTCAAGTAACATACTGTAAGTGGTGGAGTGCGTCATCCGACTTTTAAATATGGCTAGCATGGGTGCAGAAACAACTTATTCGGGGAGAGTATTCCATGATTGACAAACGCAGAAAGAAATTTCTACATTCTACTAATTTTAAGCAGCGACCTCTTAGGTCGGTGCTAGTGCTGAGTTTTAATAAAGAGCTGCACACATGATTTGGATTGTGTAAACTCAAATGTGCCATTATCAAGTAGCCTCGTAGCCGGCGATACCGCTCACTGAATACTGACATACGTTTCAGCCTCGGTTGGTGTGAAAGCTGGCGCATTACAATGACGTGCCCGGAAGCTTGACATTTAGGTTGGTTCACTGCAGTGAGACTGTGCTTCAGTCACGGTTGTCAGACTTGAATTGCCTATTTGACATGGGGTGAGCATAGACACCGAGCATTTGTCGAAAAATAAGGATGTCTATTTGTCCGAGCGCCCATCGTGACAGGCCGACGTGTTGGTTACCAGTAGTGGATGCTTATTCGGATTGTCCGGAATAACCCAAGTTATTCTGAGGAAGCACGACAAGGTTACGTTGGGCGGATGATCGCTGCAATACTTGCGTTCCTAGCCTGTAGGAATAAGTACTTTGGTGTGGTATGGAGCATACCTTGCATTTGCTCATGTTGAACTGCAGCGGATTCCGGGTTGACTATTAATGTGTCCTATCTGTGGCACAAGGAAGTAAACTTTGTTAAGTATCCACCTGAATCCCCCGCCATATCTTGATATTGTCATCAAAGTGGAAATATTGAAGCAAGTATCTGTACAAGGTCATTATTAATACCAAGAGCAATGGTGGTCCTAGAACTGAGCCCTGAGGCACACCAGACTCGACTGGTATGGGTTCAGATAAGGAATTCCGGACTTCGAGCGCTAATTACCTTGCTAGGAGAAAGTTAGTGATTCCGCTGAATTGGGGGTCACCGATGCCGCAATACCAGAGCTGGGAATAATTATCATAAATAGATATGTTAGCTAGCGTTGAAAAACCCGTCAGCTATTGTGCCACAATAACATAAAATAAAATATGTAACAGAAGCACGTCTACTGAGCCCTCAGAAACGGATGGACATCGTTCCGGAAAGCTGACCACCGACTACTTTGTCACGAAAAATAGGTACGTTATTCCCAGTAAATAAGATCGTGTTTAGAGGAGAAGGATAAGCGGGGGGGGGGACAAAGAAACACACAATACAAACGTCCCTGAGGTCGGTTCCTCACCATGTCAACAAACGGGTTCACCGTCTTTCGGGCCTAAACAAGCGAGCCGAGGTGCTCCAAGAGATCAACTTCCTCTTGATCAACCCATCGCTTAGTCACTCCTCCTCTTCATCCATCCACACCCGCCGCAAGCAAACAACGCAGTCGCGGAAGTAGATGGGCTGGCATGCGCAACACGTAGCCCAGCCATCGGAGCCTGATGCGTGAAATAACGGGGCTGAGCTGTTCATTCGCTTTTTCTGCACCAAATCCGCGACGCAGAACACGCTCATTGCACACGCGATGTTCCTACCAGACATAAGCTAAACTGCGAAGACGGTGACCGTCGAACATACCAGGTTAGTTTGGGTCTGTCGACTTGATGGGCCACATTTGCCAATCTTACATGAGGGTTGGACAGATGGCTACATTATGAACGTTGTCCTTCCCAGCGAGAGTAATGTCGGGTCGGCGCCATAGTTGGCGGAGATTGGCAAAAGCAACTCATACTTTTGCTATACGCTTCGTGACCTCGTCTTCAGTTCAAACGGAGTTGATACAACTGTTTAGGTAGTTGAATTTTTAAAGGAGTTCTAGCTGATCCTCAACAAGAGCCAGCGCAGGAGGTGGCCCTTGTCAACCTCGGAGAAAAGCTTTGAACTTCGAAGGTGTAAAGCATAGCCCGAAACTGTTGACAGCCAGAATTAATTTATCCATTGCTACTTGGCACGTTTAGGAGCTGTCGCAGATGAGGGCACTGTCGTCACGATACACCAAGACAAGATGTCAGTCAACTGGGAGCAGCTCCACAATTTCTAAGTCGTGTCCTGTGAATATGATCTCCATGCCTTGGACTATAGCGGGCATCCTTGTCTTAGACCGCTGGAGACATTGAAGGGCTGCGACATCTTGGCGTAAGCCATCACACTGCCCGAGCTACGCGCGTAAAGCGCTCGCATAACATTTATATACTTGTCAAACACCTTGTCTTAGCAGACAGTTCCAAAGGGCACTTCCATCTACCGAATCGAAGGCAGCTTTGATGTCAAGGAACACGGCAACGATGATCCGCCAATATATGTGACTGTGCTCCAACAACTGACGCAGTGAAGTTGTGATGGATGGAGCCTCGGCATCGGCAAAACCCTGGTTGCTCCTCAAAAATCTGGCTTCCATGAGCGCTAACCAGTCTGAGAACGATGACATGGGCAAGCAATTTGCAGTCGATGAAGAACAGGTTAGCTGCTCTATTGTTGCTGCATTTCAAACGTAAGCGTTCTCTGAAGCTCGGGACAATAACGGAGCGTCTCCAGTCAGATAAGATAGTTCTCTGCTCCCACAGTTTCACTAGGAACTCGTGTAAATTATACACAAGAGTAGGGCTCCGAATTTGAAGAGGGCTACAGAAAGGTCATCTGGTGCCGCGGCTTTATTCAACTTCAACAAATCGATCTCACGTTCGACTTCTGGGCATGAGGGCGGATCTGAAGGGAAAGCCCATGGAACAGGGCGATCACTGGACGGTGAGGAATCACACAATGCTGCCCTATTGGATGGCGTTTCAAATGCTCAGCCCAACGCTCCAAGCACTTTGATTAGCTACAGATAGACTGTCCAGTCTAGTCATAAATAGTTTCACTAACAACAGGCATCCTAGTGCCCATTTTCCGTATTAGATGGAACAACATCCAATAGTTACCAAGGCCAGCAATCACTACAATCTCCGATGCTCAATGAGACCACCAAGATTCGCGGTCTCTCTTCAGGAAAGTACGCAGTTTTACAATTAGGTATTTGCGAATCTCGTCGTTTTCGCTTCAATCCGGAATGTAACAGTGAGCCCCGATAACTTAAAGTGAAGCAAAATGAATCAATATCCATATGACTTCCGCGTTGATCAAATGAGAATTTAACTGCTGTCATTAGGGTTTTAGTGAACATGCAACCAGGGACTTCCAAATGTTTGGAAATTATTGGGAATACCTGCAGCTCGGGGTGTAGATGAAAGCCTTATCCTGTTCTCCGAGCCTGGCATTTCTGTTACAGACGTTTCGTTACCAAACTAAGCAACATCTTCAGCGCGGCTATTCAGTCATGATTCGCGGAGTCTTGCTAACCACTGCCAGATCCGAATGACTATTGTTTGGTACTTGCTTCGAATGTCAGCCTTCGATTGGTTCACGTGAGCCAGTCAAGTAATCATGTCTTCTCCTTGTCGATATAGTGCCCAGTGCGGGCTAAATCTGCAGAGCTCCATAGACACATTCCAGTCCCAGGTGTTTGTTGATTGAGTTCCGGCCAGAATGCCATGTCTCGAGAATCTCACGCTCTCTGCGTTTTCTTGCTTTTCCAAGTGTTTCAACATTTTCCAGATCGAACTGATATTCCTCAGCATCCATGGACAGACTATGTTTTTGCAGTTTTGTGTCAAGCTTTCTTCCAGCCTGGCCTACGTAGTATTATTCGCAGTTTTTGCAGGAAATTTTGTAAACTACACCGGTTGAGAATTGTGCTCATAATCATTTAACTTTTTATATTAACATTATTTTTATTATTTTCATGCGGTATATTGTTTCGACCAGAGGCAACACTAACCTGGAGCCTAAATGTGTCTCCGGTACTGTGCATCTTGGACCGATCACGTATTGTGCGCTCGATACGTCACAGATTCTTCGTACAAGCGCTGGAAATTTGGCACAGGGACACCGGTTACCGGCAAGTCCAGAATACGAACCAATGGTAAATCATTCCGACAAAAGCTCTGTTAAAGGAGTGCTGATGGAGAACGTTCAAACACCTCATCCTAGGTTGACCAGCAACAGTCGCGCGTACTGTCAGTGAAGTCTAGCACTGACACTCTCATCCCCGTCTGCCTTCCGTTAACACCAATGTGTCAACCTACATTCAGCTGGTATTATCAGATATCGGGTTTTGTGACGTTGGACTAATAAATAGGTTGTTTTTGTGTGCAATTTCCATGTTGCCCCGGAACACACTTTCTCAGTTTCTGTTTCAGATCTCAAATGGATTGGTCATAACGGAGTGTCGCACCCGGTTCATATCCTTCATTTCAGTTTACGCTAAAGACTGCAGGTTAGTGCATTTGTGCAGTCTACTTAACTGTTATGATATTGTCTCCCAGCTCATAGATGCATTGGGTTTGTGGCGTATATGCACTACTTTACACTTATCTGCGTTGTAAGTGAGTAGCTCATTATTTGACCATTCGAAATAACGGTCCATCTCTTGTTTACGTTGAGATTTGTGGAAAACTAACCGACTGTCCACAAATCACACTGGAACCATGACTTCTCGCTCGGGACCAAGTAAAATCAAAGAGCTCGAACAGCCTATATCTCATTGCGGCAGTTCGTGAACCACCTGATTACGGATCGTCAGCTACACCTTGATGTCATGGGTAAAAGGCAAGAATTTCGAATATATGACACAGGAGAAGCCGTTGATAAAGACCCAGAATTGGCGTGGACCCAGCACTGATCCTTGTGGAACACCGTAGTCCACATCAATAGGATCAAAAATGAGCCCCAAAACTAGACGTGCAGGCGCCACCGAAGAAAATGAAGTTTCCGACCCATCCAACGACAGGGTTTTCCATTCTGTAGGATTGCAGCTTATGGAGATGGATGTAGTGATTTATGAAACCGAAGACTCTAGAAAATGCTACAAAGGTTTCGATGCCGCTATCTGTTGTTTCGGTCCAGCTGCCACGCGCAGTCCGTATGTACACATAATGTGTATTTTTATCAACACAAAGCGCTCACTGCTGGCGAAGTATCAATATCACACCAGTGTCAAGAAAAGGATTTAATACATATCGACCTACCGCTTGCACTTCAGTTGCCTTGAAGGTTCTGGAGAAAATCCTTCTCAAAATGACGCTGTCACAAACTCACTCGAATGATCCCTTCAATTCACTTATCATTAGTTCCAGACATACTGTAGATGCAATGGTTTGCCTCGTAAATTCTGTACTGCCATCACTTGGTAACAGAAATAGGTCAACTTGTATGTGTTTTCTTGAGTATGACAGTGCATTCTGTTCTGTAAACCGCGAAATGCTTTTGAAACAGCCACTCAAGGAATACACCCCTCCATTGTCCATTTGTTTAGTGATTATTTTACTGAACCCACTCAGATTACCCGACACAATTGCACATGCTCCTCCCCACCAATCACCGACTCCAGGGTTCTTCAGGGAGCAATTCTGCGCCTTTTCTCTTTTTTACTTACGCCAGCTTAGTGACAGCGCCACAGAAGCGACCCGATACGCCAGAGTAGCAAACGAGCATGTCGGTTCAGAAAGAAAAAAGGAGGCCCCATTCAAAAGGCTTTACTCATCTGAGAGTCAGAGTATGTGGGCTATAAAGCATAACAATACAAGTAAAGCAATTGCAGGATAAACCTATGACAGTGTCAGACCATTTTACCCGATATGAAAGCGATGCACACGTTAAGAAGCGCTGTTTTACAAGTCCAGTGGGATAGTTGGTGGGGACAACAAAATGATGATAACGATAATAATAAAAATAATAAAATATTATTTTAAATATAAAATGAAGGAGCTGTCGTTTGCTTCAGTGTAGTTCTTCAATCTGCGTAGATTCACAGCACCCACAGTTAACATCAAATAAATCCAAGGTACATTCCAGGAGTAGCGCTAAGTAACAAAGTTTAATTGGATGAGTGCATCATCCAACCGTCATTTAAATACTGTTAGTGTCGATGCAGAAACGGCCGATTCTGGGAGATCATTCCACGGGTGACATACACGAATGGAAAAATATTCCTGCGGCACGCCAGTCGCCTTATACTATTCTGTGGGTTTCAGTGCGCGACCCCTTAGAAGTGCATTGCTGCTGAGTTGCAGTAAAGGGCGGCAGACATGATGTGGGTTGCGCGCAACAAAGTATGCCATAATCAGGTCGCCTCGTAATCTGCGATACCGTCCGCTGAATGCTGATGCATTAACAATACAATGTGTTACGCATCACGGTTACGCAATACCTAAGCACATGCACGTTGTTGTCTGTGCAGGTGTTGCTATACATTATGATCCAAACTGCAATATCTGTCAGCTTGTTCGGGGGTATGAGTGGGTTCGGTACATGAGTTGAAAGATGCAGATAACCCGAAAGATGCCAATGGGGTTACAATGTTTGCCTCTATACATTCGTTCACAGCTTTGGTCCTGTCATGCAAGTTGTTGAGAACAGTTGTTTCATCCCCACGAGGAGTCAGAAATGCTGCAACGAGATTGTTTCCTCACGTCCGGAAGGTAAGCGCACATGGGCATAAAACAGATTGCAGTATAACAGCTCTACGTCTTCCACACCAGGATCGTACTTCGAGGATCCGTGGCCCTTTTTCGTAAGTACCGGACCTGGTGACGTCAAGCAATTGACAACGAGGTACCAGTGGTTGGCCTGCGATTAAATGAAACTATCCGTTCGTGAGAAGTGGCGATGCATAACAACGATCGGACAGAATGGGGCGCATCTAGAATTACTGTTTCCCAATGGTGTTAAGGAGACTTTGGGAGTAGAAAGTTGAGAATACCTTCCACAACATTGTTTTAAGACGCTCTACTTGACCGTTGCCTTGCAGATTGTAAGCAGTCGATCGACTGGCGGCTATGCCATTACTGTGAAGGAATGTCTTCAATTCATCGTAGGTAAACCAGACCCCTTGATCATACTGATTATACAACGGAAGTCCGAGCGACGAAAATACGTGAGCTAAACGGTAGATTACTGTATGCGAGGATATGACTGGGGAAGGGAATGCGAATGTGAATTGAGGATAGACCACAATAACTGTTAACAAGAATCAGTTGTATGATGGGAATGGAATGGGAGCTTTAAAATCCATGCCAAGCCTTACGAATGGAGCTGTGGCTTTAAATAGTTTTGCCATTAGGTGATTTGTATAAACGGGGTTTCAGTTGAGCGCATGACTTACATCTTGAGATGACAGACTTGAAGTCTTCGCAGAAAAAGGGGATTTTTTGGAACGCACGAAATGGTATAACCGCTTCACTCCAGAGTGATACAACTAGTGATGCAATTTGTCCAAATCAGCGGAAGACATATAAGCAACAAAACTGCTGCATGGTAGTGCATCGGCTGCGAAGCTGTTCTTTCCCGGACGAGATAATATCGAACTGAAAACAGAACAACATATGCCATTGCATAATTTGGTCGTCCTTGATTTTAAGCTTTTGTTTGTTATCATACATAAATGCAACGGAAAGATGGTCGGTAACGAGCTTGGAATGGTTTCGGATGAGGAAATGTTTCAAAGTTCTAAAAGTTCCAACAATAGCATAGGCCTCTCTTTCGATTTCCGAATGGCTCCTCTCACTCGCCGACAAGTATCTACAGGAAAATGCCACTAGTCTTCCGTTTTGGTTCAAAGTTACTGCAATGACAATGTCAGAGGCATCCGTCCCCAAGACCAAAGGAATTTTAGGATCAAAGGTGAACATCGCTACTTTCTCCAGCCTCTGCTTCACGTCGTCAAAACCTACTTAACAGACTCGGGGAACGGAAAAGTTGTGTTGTGAACAATACAATGAATTTCATCAAAAACTAAAGATCCATTGGGAGTAATAAGCAAACATCCCGACGACTCATTGTTGAGACTTCAGACCGTGCGGTGGAGAAAGTTCACGCAGTCGTCTGAATCGATCGGCGTCCGGTTTGAGTTGACCTTTGGACAATTCGAATCCTAAGATAGTAATTGTCTGCACTCTGATGATGCTTTTGTCCTGGTTAAATGTCAGTCCATATTTTGTGTCAGACAGAAATCGCTTAACGTTGCACTCATTCTTCCCGCGGTTCTCTCCACAAATGATGATGTTAGCTACATACCCAGAGATATCAGACAGCTTTTCGCGTTCAGTAAGACTAAGTTTGGCCCTAAGAAACATGTCATGCTATTCGTAACTTCGAAGGGAATGAGACGAAAGTGAGATAAATTGCAGCAGGATTAAAAGACAATGTGTACTCTTTCACTCTCGTTTATAGGTATTTGATGATATGCACTTCGCAGGTCCAAAGTGCTATAAACATCAGAGTGAGACACCTCCACAACTAGTTCATCGATCCGAGGTAACGTAAACGCATCGAGATAGGTTAACCGGTTGATCGTCTGGCTGTACTCGATAACCATTCGCCTTTTCTGTCATTCGTTAGAAGTTACGAGATCCTGGGCGTGCCATGGAGAATTGGACGGTTCGATTATCTGTTCATTAAGCAGTCGTTGGAATTCAGCTTGGATAAATTTCTCCTCAATCGCGGAGTGTCGTCGTGAATTCGTGACAATGGGACGAATAGCAGGGGCCAAATGTTGGAATATAGCAGGTATGATGCGCAATGCTGTCAGCACGCAGATAGGAAGTGGTGGAATTTGGTCACCAAATGGAATTTCCAGTCGTGGAAGGAGCCTGAGAAAGTTGTAACTGCTACAGGCACGCGATTTGATCGAACAGTATTGCCATACTAATCGATAATAACGGGCCTTTTATCCATGTTCTGATTGGCCCATTTTAGCGTTCATGCCTTCCGCTTCGATTCATGTGTCAGAACAGAATTCCATGTGTCATCCGGTTGAGCCTTCTTACTGGGAGTTCGGGAGTATGCATCCAACTAGGAAAAAGGAATACGTGAGCAATACGTACCAATGACCGAGCAAAACATCGGCCAAGAGGCTGGGCAACATTGATGCCTTGAACTGCAAGTAAAGATTATCATTGTGCACAACATTAATCAACTAGTGACCCTTCGTGGATGTAGCCTGAAACGTCAAAGTCCTAGTAATTTGATTGCATGAGCGATGTATTTTTCATTGGTGCTTGTCTGCTAAGGTGGATGAGACTTACCTCTCAGAGCTACTTCTGTCGACAAGTGCTGAAAAAGCCAATTCGCTTGGCGGGGATATTCATCGATTCATTAGTAATGCCACGTGGTACGAAAGCCATGGTTAAAAATAGGAGTGGATCGTCTACGGAAGACACGATGCGTTTACCTTGGTTGCAGGCGAACCTATTAAATCGGCAGTACCGTTGTCCCAAA